TTTTCCGCTCTGCTGCGAAAACGGGCGGACCGTTCGGGGTGTGGACGTGGTGGAAGAAGCGCGCGGGTATTTTTTTTTTATTATATATATATATAGGTAACCTATACACCGATATTAATAAGAGCTGAGAAAGGGGGTTGGTATGCGTGCAAGGGGGGGAAGATGGATGCAGATATGTATGTATGTATGTATGTATGTGTGTGGGTGTGTGTGTGTGTGTGGGTTGATCGCTTGTGCTCCTACGTAGAGGTACCTACCTACCTACTGTAGCTAATTACTAGAGAGGATGAATACATAAATAAAGATGGCTTGCTTGTTTGCTTGCTTGCTTGCTTGTTTGCTTGCTTGGAAAAGAAATGCGACCGACAATGGCATACCTCGTCCAACCCCTACCCAGCCTTCCTTTTCTCGTGAGCGCCATACGCGACGTGAAGGAGGAAGACGGAATTGATGGAGAGAGAGTGTATGTAGTGTTTGCCTTCGGGCTAGAGGGGGTACCGGTACTACTACTAGTATGTATGTATGTATGTATGTATGTATGTATGTATGTATGTATGTATGTATGTATGTATGTATGTAGGGAAAGCAGGATGTAGCCGGGTGGGTCTGCACGAAAGAAGGGAGATGATGGATGGATGGATGGATGATGTGCAAAAGGCATAGAGCGTACGTATACAGAGAGAGAGAGAGAGAGAGAGATGGGCCTCCCCTTTCCTTTCCTTTCCTTTCCTTTCCTTTCAGCACTGGACTGGACTGGACTGGACTGGACCAGACTGGACTAGACTAGACTAGACTGTTTATTTATTGTTGGTTTCGTTAGTTGGGTAGCCGGCCGGCTGGATTAGAGCGTGGGATGGGTTTTTTCGCTTGCTTTCATCTATCTATCTATCCGTCCATATATCTATCTAGGTATCTACCGTAGCTCACTTACGCTGCACCACCGCCTGGAGAGACCTCATAATCAACAAGCCCCCTAACGAAGCCCCAAAACAAAATAATAAAAAATAATAAGGAGAGAGAAAGCGCCACGCAACAAGCCCTTAGGTAGGGATTTAACACTCTCCGCGGATACCTACCTACCTACCGGTACCTACCCTATCAGTCCAAACCAGCAAGAAAATCTCGCTTAAGCTTACCAATTAGATAGAGATTCCACGACTACTATTGGCTGGCTCGCTTTGCTGCTTGGCATGCTCTTGTTTGGCACTGCATAGCACTGCACTGCATATATAAGGTACATACCTATATAGGTACATACAGTACTAGGCAACTGCTATTGGCCATTTAAGCGAGAACTCCAAATCAAAAACAATAGCCATCCATTTATCATACCTTAATTACGCAGTAATTACAAATCCAAATTAAAAAAAAAAAAAAAAAAATTACATTCGACTCCTTAGACTCCTTCTTTCCTTCTCAATTTTTCAGCTAATTTTTCGAAAGCGCACGAACCTGAATATTTAGTATGCCAGCCTTTAGCCGCGATACAAGCTTTAATTCTCTCCGGCATACTCTGATACAAATTATCGAACAACGATTGATCTAATGTATCCTATGCAGCTTGCAAGCCACTTTCCATCCTTTGCCTTGCGTGTTCCGCATTCGACCTATCGATCGCAACGTCGAAGAACATTTGGTAAAGCTTCTTTTCAAGATGCCACCAAACGTGCTCGATCGGATTGCGGTCGGGAGAAAAAGGTAGCCAATTGATTAACAAAGTGATTCATATCCTTGCCGAACCCAAGCCGAACTTTCCTCGCAGTATGGCTCGAGGCATTATCTGGCTGCAACTAATATTTGCGAGGCCATGTTCGGACGATGATGAGCTTGACCTCTTCGGCTTCGCGGACGTCGAGATGGGATGGTGCGGAATACCCGTACCCGTGTTTTTCCGACTCAAAAATCTCGATCCATGATATGAAGATGCGATCTTCCGCGGTCTTAAAAGGCTCCCTAGACCATCACCTTTGTATTCTTGTCCACTTACTACTTACGCTAAGGCAACCCCGCAACCCAAGCAAGCCCAGTTTTCCCACCTCGATTCTCGATCTCAATCTCAATCTCAATTACGTCCTCTCCGCTGCCTGACGTGGTCAAACTAGCTGGGCGAAACGGTACACAATCGCATGCTTCGGATCGTGTAGATAATAGATAGATAGATAGATAGATAGATAGATAGAGCGAGACTATGGCTGGCTGGCTGGACGGTAGCGGGCACACTACGTGAACGCGACGAGATATATGAATAAAAAAAGAAGAGAGAGAGAAAGAGAAGACTCGTTGCGGGGAGAGGAGAGGGGTGGGATGGGATGGGATGGATGGGATGGATGGATGGATGGCTTTGTGCTTGCTGGGCGTAGCTGATGAGATAAGAGGAAATGATGAAGCTGGCACGGATTTCCCCCGCCGCCGACGTCGTGGCGGGAGATAAAAGCGGTCCCGGATTTTTCGACAGGTTTTTCTTGGTGAGAGGAATGACTTATCTCTCTCTTTCTCTCTCTCTCTCTCTCTGTATTGCGACGAAGGAAGGAGGAAGAAGAGAGGGAGGGAGGGAGGGGGTGAGGGTTAGTGATAAATGAATAAATAAATAAGTAAATATATATATATATATATATATATATAATATATATACACAATATGCGAAAATTGGGCGAGATTGCGAAGAGGGCGGGGTTTTGTTTGTTTGTGCATTTTTTTGTGTGTTTGTTTGTTTACGGGCTTGTTTATGGGTTTGTTTGAGTGTGTGTATGTGTTTGGACATCGAAAACGGAAGGTGGGAGACTTGGAAGGGGGGGGGGGGGGGGGG